AAAAAGATATTTTACAGTTAAGTTGAAGTGGAGATAACTTATTCCAGAGATTTGTACTACAATAAATGGAGATTTATGATTATAAAATGCTCTTGGACAGACTGTTTCTTACTTCTCTATGTACTCCTCACACTTAATGTCATAGTACCTTACACAGGGTAGATAGCAATAAAATAATTTTCCGTCTACATTTACAGTTAATTAAGAAATAAAAAGTAGTTTTGTGCCAATTATCTAAATCACCAGTACTTCATTCTGCAACTTTTCTTTTCAAGTCTCCATTTTACTATCTCAGGTCTTCTTTCCTAGCATTTGAAGATTTTGATTTATTTGCATTCTCCAAGAATTTTACTAAAATTAGGTCAATGTTTAGAGAAGGAATAAGAATTTTGGTATTCGAATGGAAATTCTGAATATCAATACTTTTCCTTGAAAAATTTATAGTTTAATTTCATTACTGTCTGAAGTAGTCAAAATAATTGCCTTTTATTTAGAGACATTACACATGATCATGGTATAACATATTTAAATATACCTACCTTTATTTTCTAGACATAACACAATTTAAAAAGCTTTAGCATATATTTCACTGGGGTAAACTTTAAACTGGGGCCTACAAGAAAAAATTATGGAGGAAATTCTGCTGCTATGGTTTATTTTCCAGGACAAAAATGTGTTCTAGTCCTAAACCTTCTTTTCTATTCTTTTAATTGCTTTAATTTCTGTTATGGTTTGGACAATGGCTTGTCCCCAAAAGGTTCATATTTTGTATATCCCTCCCCACACACACAAAATAATGTGTTGGGACCTCCTTGTATTGTAGAAGTGTTAAGTGAAAGCTTAATTCTTTAATGGTGTCCCAGAGTGGGGCTTTTGGTTCTGACAATAGCATTTGGGTGAGGCCCCTGTGGTTGAATTCTGGTGGGTAGACATGCAGAGGGAATGAGAACAGAACGAGTCACAGAAACATGAATACAGACCATGCTCTTCTCATGATCATGCTGTCCACCATGTTACACTCTCTCTGGAACTTGACCCCTGGAGCTCAGACCTTCAAACTATGAGCTAAATTAACCTCTATTTCTTTATAAATCACCCAGTCTCTAGGGTCAGCAGGTGGTATGGAGATTAAGGTACTGGATTCCACACAGCTGGATGTATGGATTGAGTCCCAGACCTGTTGGCTTGAAAATGACCCCAGCCCAAAATCCTAGCAGGACTCTGGAGGACAAGAGATTGCAACATAGCTATCCTCCCAGGGAGGGGAGGGATTTCTCACTTTCCTCTATCTCTCTCTCTCTCTCTTGCTGTGTCTCTCTGGTGAACACACACCCTATAGCAAACAAAACAAAACAAAACAAAAATCAAACAAAAAAAATCAACCAGACTTAGGTATTTCTATTAGCAATGCAATGAAGGACTAAGTTCTCAAAACTAGACTACAAACTTATATAAATAGACTAGAATTTAGTCCTTTCTAGAATCTTCTGGTACAATACTTTCTACCTACTAGGAACAAAAAAAAAAAAAAAACTAAGTTTTTTTTTTTTTTGGAGAGGTTTTTGCTATAGGGCGTGTGCGCTCGCCAGACAGACAGAGAGAGACAGAGAGATAGAAAGCAGGAAATCACCCCCCAGGGGGGATGGCCACGCCGCAATCCCTTCTCCTCCATTCTCCTCTCGGGATCTTGGGCACGCACGCACACGCGCCCGGCGTGAGTTTAAGCCACCGGGTCCGGGACTCGAACCGCGGTCGACTACATGGGAGTCCAGCGACATAGCCATTACGCTAACTGCTGGTCCCAAAACAACTAAGTTTTATAGTAACAGATTCAGTCGTTGTGTGTACTATTTTTTTTTAAAGAATTATTTTATTTAACTTTCATTTATTTATTTATTTTTTAATTTGACCAAAGAAGGACAGAGTGAGAATGAGTCAGAGAAAGAGAGAGAGAGAGCAAGCAAGCCACCAGGTCTGGGACTCAAACCATGGTCAACCATGTGGAAGTCCAGAGCCCTTAACCACCCACCAGCCCTGGTGTACTATCTTTTCAGTTCTAGTTATTCTAATGTCGGTATTAAAGAAATTGGATTGTTTGGCACAAAATATATTTATTTATATTTTGTTGGCCTCACAGCCAAACACCACAGGATTATCTGTGCTTACGCTTGTCTGGCTTCTTCCTCTCCATTCTCTCAGGTTTCTGTACCTCACATTCCACTGAAACTCCATTCATTGTCACAATGATTTTCTTTATAGTTTTTATAGCATTTCCGTATTACTAAATGCCATGCCTTCTTCCCTTATTACAATCAACTGTTAGTATCTCATTTCCCAACGTGATATAAAGCCCTTTGTTCTCTAGAGAGGGAAACAGGGAAAGCAAACCACCAGGTCAGGGACTTGAATCATGGTCGGCCATTTGGGGGTCCTGCATCTCAACCACTGTGCTAGCTACCTGCTCCAATATTGAAATTATTTTTAAATTATATTTCTCTTTGTTTCCTTTTTCTTTCTTTCTTTCTTTTTTTTTTTGAGAGGTTTTTGTTATAGGGCGCATGCGCTCGCCAGACAGACAGAGAGAGACATAGAGACAGAAAGTGAGAATTCACCCCCCAGGGTGGATGGTCATGCCGCAATCCCTTCTCCTCCATTCTCCTCTCGGGATCTTGGGCACGCACGCACACGTGCCCAGCGTGAGTTTTAAGCCACCGGGTCTGGGACGCGAACCGTGGTCGACTACGTGGGAGTCCAGAGACATAGCCATTATGCTAACTGCTGGTTCCCCCAAATTATATTTCTTTTATAAAATTTTATAAATAATTTTTCTGCTGGATCCTATTTTTTTTCTTTTTCATACTTTCTGTAAACTGTTTTCTTTCCTCTATATTACATGTTTGAATAATTTATTGTTATTTTGTTCTTTTAAAATAATGCCCTTTTTGAATGATTTTACTTTACCTTTGAGTATACATTTAGCTCAAGAACTTGTTTTCTTCAATATCTCACTCATTTATATCTAACACTTGTATTACTTGAACAGTTATTTTGGGAATTTTTAAAGTAAGTTTTCTCTTTTAAAAAATTATTTAATTTATTATTACCATTTTAAAAATTTGCTATAAGGTACATGTAGTCACCAGAGAGACAGATGAGAGAGAAAGTGAGAAAGCAAACTGCCAGATCTGGGACTCAAACTGCAGTTGGCCATATGGGAATCCAGCATCTTCACTGTGAGACCTGATGGCCCTTTAGTAAGTTTCCTAATTCCTACTCTGAATAGGAATTTTCCCCTGAGAGAAATTACTTTCTTGTATTTGCTGTCAAAACTTCCCACCTGCCCCTGTTAAACTGCACCCAGCAGCTGCTCCTTCATGTTCCAAGGGTATCATGGGCTTTTGTTGCATGTACATAGTTTCCAGAATTTCCATACTTACTACAGTTTAATAGAATTTGTAGTTTGTGAATGCTCCATTTTCTGGCTTCTTTCTCCTTGATGCTTTGTATGGTTTTTAGGAGAGCAATGTGAAGATAAGAAACTAAGTCATTGCTACCTTTTTGGGAAACTGAACTTATAAAATATTTATAGTGATTTAAATTTGCTATGGCAGAAGAATATTTTCTCTCTGCTAAAGTCTCTGTTCATTGAAATATATGAATATACTTTTTATAGCATCTCCTCACTATGAAAGTTAATGTTAAATTAAACTTTTTCATCAACTGATTTACTTTTCAGTTAATTAATGTTCAGGCATCCTGTGTCTATTCGATGTGTGATTAGAATTTTAAAAGTTTAATTGAGTTTATGCATAGGGAATTGTACCAACAGTAGTAACTGGATTACAAAGCACTTTATAGAATAATAATAAAAATGAAATGACCAAAGGAAAACACAGTGAGCTATTTACTTGAATATTTCAATATTTAGAAAATGAAGTGAATCACTAGGAATAGTCTCATTTTATTAAGGACTTAAGATTTTTATGACCTCCTGAACTATCCTGTGACTTCTTTCATTAGACTGTTCCAATGAATTTGTAGATATGCCATAATAAAATAAAAAAGTTAATTTTGGACTTCTTAACTTTCAAATAGAAAATGATAGTCTCTTACAGCAAAAGAGAAATGAAGAATAAAATTAATATCTAATACTGTAAGTTTAATAACAGCTCAAAAAAGGTATTGAGTTTCTAATTTAATATTTTTGATAACAGGTTTTAAATGGTGAGTAATACACAAGATTCACTCTTACCGAAGTTGTGGTGTTTTACATGTGAGCTCTATTAGTCATCACAGATGCATAATCACTCCCCCAGGTAGCACAATTATCTCTAAAAATTCTAGTGATACATTTACATTAATGAGGAGTAACAAGTCTCATGTTGTTATACTATGTGCATATTTTAAGCTACCATATACCTTTAAAAGTTGCTAATTTCTGCTTGGTTACATCCGAATACTAGATTTTGTTTATAATTCTGAACACACTATATTGTATGTTCTTTTACACTTTCATATCAGAGTTCTTATTCTAATCTCCCATCATTGTTAGATTGATAGCTTATAGGGGAGCCAGCAGGTGGCGTGGTGGTTAAGGGTGATGGACTCTAACATGTTCAACTGCGGTTCGAGTCCCAGCCCTGGCAGCTTGCACTCACTCTCTCTCTGTCCTTCTAAATAAGTAAGTAAATAAATAAATAAAGTTAACTAAAATAGCTTACAAGTGCTTTGTAAAATCTGCTTCTAAAAGTAAACAGAGTAGTACTAGAACAATAGTACTAGAACAGTACATTTTTATTCTATTAATAATTTCTATAATACTGATATTAATGAATTTTTATGTAGTTTACCTCCAATCACACAGACATTTACTTATTAATAATTGTGATGCCTACAAAGCTTAATCTTTCTCTTCTTTCAGGTTTTCACTCAAATGTCATCCTCTCAGCAAGGACTTCTCTGACAACCCTTTTTAAAAGTTATATTGCCAATATCCTTACCCCTTAACTCGATTCATTTTGCTTCATAGCACTTATCACCTTCTATTTTATATTTAATTTCTTTATTTGTCTATGGTCTCTCTCCTTCAACAGAACATAAGCTTCTTGATGTCAGGGATGGTTTAATTCTTTGTTCATGTTCTAGCCACTGACTACCTTTTTGGGAAACTGAACTTATAAAATATTTATAGTGATTTAAATTTGCTATGGCAGAAGAATATTTTCTCTCTGCTAAAGTCTCTGTTCATTGAAATATATGAATATACTTTTTATAGCATCTCCTCACTATGAAAGTTAATGTTAAATTAAACTTTTTCATCAACTGATTTACTTTTCAGTTAATTAATGTTCAGGCATCCTGTGTCTATTCGATGTGTGATTAGAATTTTAAAAGTTTAATTGAGTTTATGCATAGGGAATTGTACCAACAGTAGTAACTGGATTACAAAGCACTTTATAGAATAATAATAAAAATGAAATGACCAAAGGAAAACACAGTGAGCTATTTACTTGAATATTTCAATATTTAGAAAATGAAGTGAATCACTAGGAATAGTCTCATTTTATTAAGGACTTAAGATTTTTATGACCTCCTGAACTATCCTGTGACTTCTTTCATTAGACTGTTCCAATGAATTTGTAGATATGCCATAATAAAATAAAAAAGTTAATTTTGGACTTCTTAACTTTCAAATAGAAAATGATAGTCTCTTACAGCAAAAGAGAAATGAAGAATAAAATTAATATCTAATACTGTAAGTTTAATAACAGCTCAAAAAAGGTATTGAGTTTCTAATTTAATATTTTTGATAACAGGTTTTAAATGGTGAGTAATACACAAGATTCACTCTTACCGAAGTTGTGGTGTTTTACATGTGAGCTCTATTAGTCATCACAGATGCATAATCACTCCCCCAGGTAGCACAATTATCTCTAAAAATTCTAGTGATACATTTACATTAATGAGGAGTAACAAGTCTCATGTTGTTATACTATGTGCATATTTTAAGCTACCATATACCTTTAAAAGTTGCTAATTTCTGCTTGGTTACATCCGAATACTAGATTTTGTTTATAATTCTGAACACACTATATTGTATGTTCTTTTACACTTTCATATCAGAGTTCTTATTCTAATCTCCCATCATTGTTAGATTGATAGCTTATAGGGGAGCCAGCAGGTGGCGTGGTGGTTAAGGGTGATGGACTCTAACATGTTCAACTGCGGTTCGAGTCCCAGCCCTGGCAGCTTGCACTCACTCTCTCTCTGTCCTTCTAAATAAGTAAGTAAATAAATAAATAAAGTTAACTAAAATAGCTTACAAGTGCTTTGTAAAATCTGCTTCTAAAAGTAAACAGAGTAGTACTAGAACAATAGTACTAGAACAGTACATTTTTATTCTATTAATAATTTCTATAATACTGATATTAATGAATTTTTATGTAGTTTACCTCCAATCACACAGACATTTACTTATTAATAATTGTGATGCCTACAAAGCTTAATCTTTCTCTTCTTTCAGGTTTTCACTCAAATGTCATCCTCTCAGCAAGGACTTCTCTGACAACCCTTTTTAAAAGTTATATTGCCAATATCCTTACCCCTTAACTCGATTCATTTTGCTTCATAGCACTTATCACCTTCTATTTTATATTTAATTTCTTTATTTGTCTATGGTCTCTCTCCTTCAACAGAACATAAGCTTCTTGATGTCAGGGATGGTTTAATTCTTTGTTCATGTTCTAGCCACTGATTCTAGAATTAGAATGCACATTTACCAACTTTATTGTTCTCAATAAATATTGGTTGAAAAAAATACTTTTTGGGAGAGATTTTTGCTATAGGGTCTGTGTGCTTGCCAGAAAGACAGAAAAAGACAGAGATACAGAAAGCGAGAAATCACCCCCCAGGGGGGATGGTAACGCCGCAATCCCTTCTCCTCCATTCTCCTCTCAGGATCTTGGGCACGCACGCATACACGCCCAGCATGAGTTTAAACCAACGGGTCTGGAAGTCAAATTGCAGTCAACTACATGGGAGTCCAGCGACATAGCCATTATGCCAACTGCTGGTCCCTGAAAAAAAAATTTTTCAGTGAATCTCAGAGTTACATGGACATTATACAGGAATATCTATAAAAAATATTAGATGATTTCAAGCACTTAGTATGCTTTGCCAACAAATTAGGTTCATGTGAGTTTCTGCCCTTCCTTTTAATAAGTACACAGATCTACAGAGCCATACTATTTTGCAAAATCTTGAAATAGAATATAAGAATATAATCCATTTGATTATTATCTGTTGATGATAATGTGTGTAGTATCCTGAACTGGCCTGTCATGAAGTGTATTCATGTTGGGTAAATGCACTTTACAAGCTAAGTGATGTATACTGATTGAATGTATAAGATAAATTAAAATAATAAAAAAATCCTTTTAGAAAAAGAAAATAAGAATAAAGTTCTTAGAACTCAGAGTTCATGTTCACAATGCAGATATTAAATTATTAGTGAAATGATGAGGTAAGCATATGTGGTGAGGGATGGGGATCTGGTGGAAGCTAGAAAATAGAATCAGATATACTAGTAGTGCATTGCTTCTCCATTTCCCCTTAGTGCCTGTATCTCATTCAGTCATCCTCATGACTTCTCATTGCCAAGAATACTCTGCAGCACGAAAAATGTAAGACAGTTCTGTCTCTATTGATTTTTCCCCCTATCTTCTGGCATGCATAGTACTCTGGAAAATAAAATCCCAAACAGAGTTGGTTGCTGTACTATTTAAGGTGCTCCTTGGTGTCTAATGAAGCAAACTGAGTAGGTCGGGGCATCGACAGCAAAGCAGCTGGAGTCGTAGCTCATTTTGGCTCTAGTGACTGATGGAGGATGAAGGAAGTAGCAGTATGCCAGGTGGAGATAAGTCACTTAGCTGGCTGATTACATCAAATTGCCTCCAATATAATCAGCCGGGACACATTTACCAAATTGGCATTTCAAATCATTATGCGGAAGCTGAATTAATTCCCTAGGTATATGGTGTAATATTCTGTGTTCCTATGCTCATAGTAGGCACCTAATAAAAATTAATGATAATAGACGGAGGGGGAAATAGAGCCAAATAAAACCATAGGTGATTTTTTTGTAATGTTAGACTTTACATCCTGACTCAAATATTATTCTAATCAGACACTTTATTTACCAATAAATGTTTTTGATTTGCCTAAAATCTGCACGGAAGCATCAGCTGATAAACTTGGGAAGACAGTTGACCACCTATCACAGTCAGTACCTGAATTTCTTTGTGTCACACTCCATTTAGATCAATCAAAATTGGATTACAACTCATTTTTAAATTTTCTAGTTCTCTGTTGCTATGGGTCTGCCAGCTCCTGGATCGGAATTCAGCTGTGTTGTGTCCGGCATACATTCCTCTTGATTAACAGGTCTATTGGGTGTTTGTGATGAGGTTTTACACAGTCCCTGGATCTCACAGAGTTCATTTAAACTGTCTTGCCATTTCCGCATTTCACTACATGCAGAAAATAAAACATGGCAAAGATTGCCACATAGTATGCATCATTTTTCTAACCTCTTGAAACTGGTGACATGACAAATGGCAATATAAATGTGTTATACACCTTGGTAGAGTGACATTGGAATTAACATGCATGGTGAGTCCTGTGACTGTTTTTCTCTTCTTATTTGGAAAATAACAACAACCAAAACCAAACACCATTTAGTACTACTGCCTTCTGTATAATAAAGAATTCTTCCCATGTGCTTAAGCTGTTCTAAGGACTCCTTTTCTTAAAAAAAAAAAAATAGAGTTTCTGTACAACATTGTGATTAGAGTCAACAATACTCTATTGTATACTTAAACATTTGTAAGAAGGTACACCATATGTTAAGCATTCTTCTTCCAAAAGAGTTGACGTCCTTATCTCTATCACTGTCATTAAAGTTATAGCATCATTCTCTATACATGGATACTTCTATGATAAAAAATGTTAATTTTTATAAAGATAAGTAAGGTAGGCTTTCCTTTATTCTTTCAAAATAATTTGGCCAAGGCCAGCAGATGACATTGTAGTTATGTTGCTGGACTCCCACATGGGTGACCACAGTTTCCGACCCGGAACTAGTGGCTTGAAAATCATGCTGGGCATGAATGCGTGTGTGCCCAAGATCTCAGGAGGAGAATGGGGAGAGGATTGCAGCATGGCTATCTTTCCTGGGAGGTGAGTTTTCACTTTCCCTCTCACTGTCTCTATCTGTCTCTCTCTGGTTGGTGAGCACATATGCCCTATTGTAAAAACTTTGAAAAAAAGGAAAATTATTTGGCCAAAGAAACTTCTAGGGTAGCTCTCCTGGCACAAAAAAAGACTAAATAAATAAATAAATAAAAAACATGCCAAACTATCTAAATAAATAAATAAATAAAAAACATGCCAATCTATTAAATATAACTGCCTTAGGAAGGATCATGACTCCCCCCCACCACCACCATTTGATTTATTAAAATAGGAAACACTATTTTATGAAATTTAAAATCTTGCTAATATAAATTTAATCACACAAAGCAGTGATCTATTTTAAATGAGTTAGAATACTCTTAATTTTTATTGAGTGCATATTGACAGTCCATAAATTGATTTGCTAAAAGTGAGGTAATGTACCTATTCCACTGAATTGATTCTTGAATGTTTTTGCAGTGGGGAGTTGATTTTGTTTTCTATTCAATAGTCTACCACTCATTTTATTTAAAATGAATTCCCCTGCTCAAAGTGATGAGAAATTCCTACTTTCTATTATAGAAACCAACGAGTCCAGATACCTCTCTCTGGCCCCGTAGAATGCCACATCATGATTCTTGACTGTGAAATGCTCCAGCTTTTGACCTTGAATCTCGAGGTGGTCATGCAAAGATGCATGTACAGTTGACTTTAGTGTAGCAGCATGGATAGTCTTGCAGAGATGCAAAGAGTAGTACCCTAGGCATAATCCTGGCTCTGCTCCTTGATATCTAAACATTTTGTGCCTTTTTTCTGAGACTGACTCCTCAGCTTTCCAATGAATTTTTGAACTAATCATCCTTCATTCAAGGAAATAATC